ATTATTTTCAACATCTGCCCCATTATCTAGCTTCCCTATTTACCAGTACTGTTCATAACCTTTTCAAACTACAGAACACAACCACGGAACCCTTTTCAGAACACATTTCTCTGCAACCTCTTGTTTACCGTAGGTAAGGTTTCTTCATGTAAGACGTTCAAATGTTTTATGCACTTATGTAAGATGGACAAATACCTTGTAAAGGCAAAATCTTCTACGATGATGCACCAAAAATATTCAATGCTTTAAAAAATAGAAGACGTTAAAAATGTATTATAATTAAAGAAATGATTTTTTTTCAAGAGTTTTTTTGTTTTTAGAAATCTCACTTAACTTTTTGAAATCTCACCAGAGAAGTTAGAGATCTGACAATAATATTCAGTTTATATCGCTTTGAGTTTCATAGAAAAACCCTGTTTTTTACTTTGTTGAATATATCAACTTTTGTGGTAACTAAGCAGCATGGAAGGTTTTATGTTTCTGCTTTAGTTGGAAGAAAAGCGCAGCTGAAGCCTATTGAATGCTAGTAGAAGTTTATGGAGACAATGCTCCAACTGATTAAACATATAGGGAATGGTTTCAAGAATGGCGTTGTATACTATGAGCAGCTACAACCTGGCAGGCGATCGGTATAGGCTACAATTGATTCGTTTGAGCCGTGCATTACGAGAAAAATGGCCGAAATCCAAGCAAAGTTTTGACCAAGTTATTCCTATGCATGATAACGGTCGGCCTCATGTCGCAAAAGATTATTTGGAAACGCTCAAGTAGGATATCTTACCGTATTCGCTGGACATTGCTCCTTCTGATTACTGGTTGTTCCGACGGATGCACCATGATTTGGCAGGGCACCGGTTCACTTATTTGCAAAAATCTGAAATTGGCTCCTAACTTGGATCGCCTCAAAAGATATGACATTTTTTCGAGATGGAATTCAAAAATTTCCCGTGAGGTGGGAAAAAGTAGCAGCCAGTGACTACTTTGAATAATCTGTTCATTCATTTTGTTCTGAAATAAATGTATTTTTGACCAGAAAAAAAAAAAAAAAAAAAACGGACCAAACTAATTTGTACTTCCTATATATCTAGTTTTTATTATGATTATTATTAACCTTAACTATGAACAACATTTATTTTGAATATTTTCATTTAAAAATTTATCAAAATATATATTTTTTTTTAAAAATACTAAACCGCTGTTTGCAAACGTTACTCATAACATCTTTGAATAAGTTAGATCATAAATATATTGGCAATAACAATTTTTAAAAAAATAATAGTTTAAAAGTTTTTTACTCATAACTCCAGAAGTGTTAACTCCTAATGTGTCAATAGCTTTCAATCTGATGTCTTGTCTTTGATATCGTTGCCCTACAACTAATATGAAAATATGGTTAGTGAGAAGAAGAAAAATAATGATTATTTAATAAAATTTAAGAATTATACAACTGAAGATGAACAAATGATGAAGTTTAATATTTTCATTTAAACTTGATAATGACAAGTACTAAAGTACAGCTGTAAAATTTGAATTAAAGATGATAAAAATAAAAATATCTTAAAAATCATAACACAAAAACTACATTTGATTCATTATATTGAGAATAAATCTACAATTTGACAAGGTCAAGATAAACATAGCAGGAAATTTGTCAACTTAATTGTCAGTATAAATATTTTTGTTTATTTACCTGCAAATATTAATTTGCTTCTTATCCTATACCTTTGGATAGTGGTCGGATAAACTACATTTTTCTGCAGTTAACTACTATTTTTTTAATGAAATGATTACAAACTACTTTCAAAATAAAGCTCTACTTAACTACTTTTAGTACATGAATTTTCCTGGAGAATCCAATTTACATTCATGTTCAAAATGTTTTTAAAAAATTAATACTGAAAGAAATTATTTGTAAAGGGTTTAGAATAATAAATTAACTAGATGATTTTTACAAATTTCTTCTTACAACCTTTAACATTTTATACCCTTTTTAATAGTGAATATTTACATCAAGAAAAAAATCATCATTGTTGAAAAATGAAATATTTGTGATTTTGTTTTGATAAGTGTTTAAAACTAAGTTAACTGGAAAAAAATATGTGAAGTACATCATGGACATTCTCATTGCTTCCCTCTGATGGACTCACATAAACTTATGCACCAATCAAATTTACAAAAATAATTGTAATAGAACCTTATTTTTTTACTAAACTAATGTTAAAAGTAATGCTACTAACTAGTATTTATTTATTTTGTATGACAATACTCATGCTACTTTTTTAAAAAAATAATACATTACTCTACAAACTGTGGAAAAAAAATAGTGTCTAGAATAGTTTCCTTACATGTAGCTGTTACCACTGCTTTTAAATACATTTAAACTATTTAATATTAAAGCATAAATAATTGTCACTCGATTTAATCATCTAATTTTAAAAAACCAGTTTTTTTTTTTTTTTTGAGGTTGCATTTTGTAGTGTATGAATAATAGTAAGTAATATCCTTTTACTGGCCGGTATGAGGTAAAAACGCCGGAGGTTGTATGGGATCTGATTGATAGCTGTCAACCATTTGATCGCATTCCTAATTTGTTTGACATGTTGTTTGTAATAAAAGTGTCTGTGGATAACACAGCTAATTGATATAAACCAGCATTCCCTATAAAAGAAACAAAACCTCAAAGTTAGCGACGAGGATGGGATCTGATTGATAACAGTCAACCATTTGATCTTTTTCTCTTATTCCTTTGATGTGTTATTTGTAATAAAAGTATCTATGTTATAAAATCTGTTGAATGGATAACACAGCTAATTGACAAAAACCCGCATTTCCCATAAAGGAAACAAAATCTCAGACATTGATTTATATAGGTACTGTTTTAAAAACATGTAAAACGAAACTGATTTGGTATATGGGATATCCTATCAGTCTAAAACCCCATTTATACAAGGTTTTTAACACAGATAAATGCAAGCAATCTTCAGTGGACACTAGTAAAAAAAAAAAGCCTCATCAAATTCACACCATCTCATTACGATTTAGTCTAATATAAGAAAGAACAGCATTTCCCAAGTAATGTTTTGAAAATTTTTACAGTTCCGTAGAAGAAGGAGAGGGGGTTGGGATAGTTAGAACTTGTTTATAATAGGCTTAAAAACCTAAAAATGAAAACAGAAAAAAGATATCATTTCTGTTAAATTACATGATTGGCCGATCTGAAAAACTACACACACCATTACAGAAAATTTAATTAAACTATGCAAGGCAGAAATAGTTTGCCCTGGACAAGGGGAAGATGTGGTGAAAAAAAGTGTTCTTACAGTGATCCGAGAGTTAGAACTTGTGTACGATTTGAAAAACTCAGATGTGTAAAAACCTAAAATGAAAACACAACAAGAACATTATTCCTGTTCAACTATATGATTGGCCCATCTGGAAAACCACACAACATTATAGAAAATATAATTAAACTATGCATGACAAAAATAGTTGGACGTATTTCTTGATTATTGAACACCTAATTTCTAGATCCTTGAATCATGTTGAACGACTTTGCTTAACAATGGCTTTAAAATTCGGCTTTTTTGGTCAATACTAGGACTGGGCGCTGTTAAGATTTAGACATTACGCTGTATTGTCACGCTAATATCGCGATATTTTGATGCACCTCGTTGTTTCCATACATTAATGTTTTATATTTAGCACTGCGTAAATTCGCAATTAGTTAGTAAGTTGCATTTTTAAAAATAAACGTTGCCTTTTTTTATAATTATTTCTCAATATTTAAAGACATGAATGCCTGCAAAATAGCGGTTAAAAAATATTAAACGGCTGGATTGATTGTGAAAAAAATCAATAGGATTTGCACAACATCTCAATCTGATTCTCAATCACATTCAGAGTCATCTTATCAACCAAACAATGAGTCACGATGCAAAAAAATCAGGGAAAGAAAACAATCATCGCCACAGCTATCACTGCACACTTGTGAAAGATAATACTCTTCACGCGAGCTTGCAGATATCGATGCACTATCGGGAACAATGCTCAATATTGTACGTGTAGACATCGATGCATCGGGAAGTATCGCACACATCTCAGTAAATCACAATTTCCGATGCTTTGTAAAATTGCCAATCCAAACATCGGATCGGCGATGATTGCATAGAATCAATATTTTCCCAATACATCGATTTATAGCCCAGTTCTAGTCAATACATTTGATAAACTAAAGTCAATGTTCCACCAAAAAGATATCAATCATTCAGATTTCTATAACCAAGAAAATTCGGAGCAGCTGGTATGGAGTGTCTTTAAGTAAGTCGAAAGAAGACATCTAATTCAGGTTGTAAAAAAACTATTTTATTTATAGCAATGGAAAAACAAAATAAAAAAACTATGAAACTTAAAGTTTAAACTAGACAAAATTAAAATTCATTTAAAAGAATTATGTATTTTTTATCATTTTAAAGCATTAATTTCTAATTAAATTATAAGAATAATTTATGGGTTTTATGAGAATAGTAAAACGTAGTTAAATAAATTTTATGGTAAGATTATGTATAATGTTTACTGGATATAAAAAAATTTATTATTTTTACCTAACTCATGGTCAGCAAAATTTGATGACACTTCCACAGAAAATGGTTGTCCTGTTGCTATAGATCCTTTTAACAGAACAAGGTCTTTTGGAGTTCGTTTTTCCATTGCATTTATATCTAATAAAAGGAATATTGGAATTATTTTAAACAAATTTTTTTAAGAATAAAAAAGTGATACCTTTCAAAATTGACAACAGATATTTAGTGATTTTATCATATAATAAAAAATATAATGTAATAGAATAAATTTAAAGTATGAAACAAATCATTAATAACAGTATCAACCAATACTGTATTACTTAATAACAGTATTGGTTAAATTTATTTCATTTTTCAAATGTTGTAGCAATTTTTTCGGAAATCTAATATAAACTGACTGGTGTAATTGAAAATGGTGATAAGTGAAATTTTTTAGTTACTCATCAAATGAACAAGTACATAATCTCAAAAGATTTATCCCTGATAGATTAGATTTCTCATTTTTTTTAATCTTTTATTTTTAGATATTCCTAGTTTTATTTTATCTTGAAATGAAACTCAGACCACAGAATATTATTTCTTATACCCTTAATCAGTGAAAAGTAAGTTTTTCAGATCTTTGAATATACACCTTAAATTTGATACTGCCAGCTGGTATCAAAATAAAAGCTGTTAGAAATAAGAAAATTATGTAACAAAATCAGATCAGCTTTCAACTAAATTAAAAAGGCAAAAGAAAAAATATAGATATAACGTTGCCGAGTGGATGGATTAAAACAGGTCTTAGGCAAGGAAGGAGGGTACAAAATTTATTTATTAATTGTTAGACAGAGCAGTCATGAAAAAGTGTACACAAAATGTTGCACTCCTCAGTAATATGTTAGGGAAAATCTTGCAATGTAAAATCCGTAAATGTCTCTATTTAGGGAAAAGAGGGAAATCTTAGAAATTACTATTGGTTTATGAAATAGGTCGAGTGATTCCCACAAAGATTAAAGGGAAAAACGTCCTGCTTCTAATTAATGCATAGTTGAGCCAAAAATAGATTTAAGGACATGGTGTGAATTTAAAAGTGTGAGAAAGCATTTCATTATAACTAAGAAAAGAAAAGAATATTCAGAAAAGAACTAACATAAAAAGATTAATTGAAGCTTTTATGTTACATGCATATNAAAATAATACATTACTCTACAAACTGTGGAAAAAAAATAGTGTCTAGAATAGTTTCCTTACATGTAGCTGTTACCACTGCTTTTAAATACATTTAAACTATTTAATATTAAAGCATAAATAATTGTCACTCGATTTAATCATCTAATTTTAAAAAACCAGTTTTTTTTTTTTTTTTGAGGTTGCATTTTGTAGTGTATGAATAATAGTAAGTAATATCCTTTTACTGGCCGGTATGAGGTAAAAACGCCGGAGGTTGTATGGGATCTGATTGATAGCTGTCAACCATTTGATCGCATTCCTAATTTGTTTGACATGTTGTTTGTAATAAAAGTGTCTGTGGATAACACAGCTAATTGATATAAACCAGCATTCCCTATAAAAGAAACAAAACCTCAAAGTTAGCGACGAGGATGGGATCTGATTGATAACAGTCAACCATTTGATCTTTTTCTCTTATTCCTTTGATGTGTTATTTGTAATAAAAGTATCTATGTTATAAAATCTGTTGAATGGATAACACAGCTAATTGACAAAAACCCGCATTTCCCATAAAGGAAACAAAATCTCAGACATTGATTTATATAGGTACTGTTTTAAAAACATGTAAAACGAAACTGATTTGGTATATGGGATATCCTATCAGTCTAAAACCCCATTTATACAAGGTTTTTAACACAGATAAATGCAAGCAATCCTCAGTGGACACTAGTAAAAAAAAAGCCTCATCAAATTCACACCATCTCTTTACTATTTAGTCTAATATAAGAAAGAACAGCGTTTCTGAAGTAAAGTTTTGAAAAATTTTACAGTTCCGTAGAAGAAGGACAGGGAGTTGGGATAGTTAGAACTAGCTTATGATAGGCTTAAAAACCTAAAAATGAAAACAGAACAAAGATATCATTTCTGATAAATTACATGATTGGCCAGTCTGGAAAACCACACACACCATTACAGAAAATTTAATTAAACTATGCAAGACAGAAATAGTTTGCCCTGGACAAGGGGATGATGTGGTAAAAAAAGTAATAAAAAAAAAGTGTTTTTTGATTGATACACTGATCCGAGAGTTAGAACTTGTTTATGATTTGAAAAACTCAGATGTGTAAAAACCTAAAGTGAAAGCACAACAAGAACATTATTCCTTTTAAACTATATGATTGACCAATCTGGAAAACCACACAACATTACAGAAAATCTAATTAAATGCATGACAAAAATAGCTAGATGTGGAGAAGATCCAGTAAAAAAAAAGTATTTCTTGATTATCAAACACCTAATTTCTAGATCCTTGAATCCCGTTGAACGATTTTGCTTAACAATGGCTTTAAAATTCGACTTTTTTGGTCAATACTAAGATTGGGCGCTGTTAAGATTTTGACATCGCAATGTATCGTCACGCTAATATCGTAATATTTTCATGCATCGCGATGTTTTCATACATTAATGTTTTATATTTAGCACTGCGTAAATTCACAATTATTAAGTTACATTTTTTAAAATAAACATTGCCTTTTTTTATAATTATTTCTCAATATTTAATGATGTGGATGCCTGCAAAATAGCGGTAAAAAAACGTTAAACAGCTGGATTGATTGTAAAAAAAAAATCAATAAGATTTGCACAACATCTCAATCACATTCAGATTCATCTTATTAACCAAACGATGAGTCACGATGTAAAAAAATCGGGGAAAGAAAAAGATCACCGCCACAGCCATCACTGCACACTTATGGAAGAAAATACTCTTCGTGCGAGCTTGCAGATATCAATGTTCTATAGGGAACAATGCTCAATATTGTACGTGTAGACATCGAAGTATCGCAAACATCTCAATTTCCGATGCTTCGTAAAATTGCCTATCCAAACATCGGATCGGCGATGATTGCATAGAATCAATATATTCCCGATGCATCGATTTATAGCCCAGTTCTAGTCAATACATTTGATAAACTAAAATCGAAGTTCCACCAAAAAGGTATCAATCATTTAGATTTCTATAGTCAAGAAAATTGGGAGTTGCTGGTATAGAGTGTCTTTAAGTAAGTCGAAAGAAGACATCTAATTCAGGCTGTAAAAAAACTATTTTATTTATAGCAATGCAAAAACAAAATTAAAAAATGTTGAAACTTAAAGTTTAAACTAGACAAAATTAAAATTCATTTAAAAGAATTATGTATTTCTTTTATCATTTTAAAGCATTAATTTCTAATTAAATTATAAGAATAATTTATGGGTTTTATGAGAATAGTAAAATGTAGTTAAATAAATTTTATGGTAAGATTATGCATAATGTTTACTGGACAGAAAAAATTTATTATTTTTACCCAACTCATGGTCAGCAAAATTTGATGACACTTCCACAGAAAATGGTTGTCCTGTTGCTATAGATCCTTTTAACAGAACAAGGTCTTTTGGAGTTCGTTTTTCCATTGCATTTATATCTAATAAAAGAATGAAAATTAGAATTATTTTAAACAAATTCCTTTCAGAATAAAAAAGTCATATCTTTCAAAATTGACAACAGATATTTAGTGATTTTATCATATAATAAAAAATATAATGTAATAGAATAAATTTAAAGTATGAAACAAATCATTAATAACAGTATCAACCAATACTGTATTACTTAATAACAGTATTGGTCAAATTTATTTCATTTTTCAAATGTTGTAGCAATTTTTTCGGGAATCTAATATGAACTGACTGGTGTAATTGAAAATGGTGATAAGTGAAATTTTTTAGTTACTCATCAAATGAACAAGTACATAATCTCAAAAGATTTATCCCTGATAGATTAGATTTCTCATTTTTTTTAATCTTTTATTTTTAGATATTCCTAGTTTTATTTTATCTTGAAATGAAACTCAGACCACAGAATATTATTTCTTATACCCTTAATCAGTGAAAAGTAAGTTTTTCAGATCTTTGAATATACACCTTAAATTTGATACTGCCAGCTGGTATCAAAATAAAAGCTGTTAGAAATAAGAAAATTATGTAACAAAATCAGATCAGCTTTCAACTAAATTAAAAAGGCAAAAGAAAAAATATAGATATAACGTTGCCGAGTGGATGGATTAAAACAGGTCTTAGGCAAGGAAGGAGGGTACAAAATTTATTTATTAATTGTTAGACAGAGCAGTCATGAAAAAGTGTACACAAAATGTTGCACTCCTCAGTAATATGTTAGGGAAAATCTTGCAATGTAAAATCCGTAAATGTCTCTATTTAGGGAAAAGAGGGAAATCTTAGAAATTACTATTGGTTTATGAAATAGGTCGAGTGATTCCCACAAAGATTAAAGGGAAAAACGTCCTGCTTCTAATTAATGCATAGTTGAGCCAAAAATAGATTTAAGGACATGGTGTGAATTTAAAAGTGTGAGAAAGCATTTCATTTTAACTAAGAAAAGAAAAGAATATTCAGAAAAAAACTAACATAAAAAGATTAATTGAAGCTTTTATGTTACATGCATATATATCAGTAATTGAGAATTCCGTTCAGGGAGGCCACAAAAAAGTAATTTCTATAGTTACCTATATTAGGTAACTATTACTACAATAAAAGATCAATGGCAACAATCGATGATTTTCACTGAAAAATCTAAAGGCCATCAAATCACCTTAATGTATTTAATTCATAATAAACAAGAGTAACATTTTGTTCAATAAAGCATTACCTCGACAGAGATTTACAAGAAGAGAATTCCAAACATGTCCGATATTAAGTTTTGGAGGTTTATAAACACAAAAAATACCATTTAAATATTTCCAAGCGTCTGGTGCGTACGCCAAAGCTCGCATAGTGACAAATCTTATGTGTGTAATAACAGAAGTGATATATTATGACCTTACAAGAATACTTTTAAAAAAAGTATTTCCAATAATTCTCTTAAAGTATTAAAAATTTGTTTTGAATGAAGCATCAGAATTTTGTACTTTCTACAACATTTTGTACATTTACTCTCACATTTTAAAATTAAACTAATTCAAAATTAGAAAGGAAAAAATAAAACTTGTTTAGTAGATTGTAGAAGAATGCGATATCAACGAGTATACTTGTTTTGTTTACTTATGTTGTGAGTTTAGTTCATTTCAGTTCAAATTATTTTCGGAATATAAAAAATACTAACTTTTATCATGAGTGATCACTTATATTAACCTATCTTAATGTCAAAAACACTTTCTAATGATAAAAGAAAAAGAAATTTTTTCTTGATATGATGGTATCAATACTAATAATATGAAGACAAATGTAAAATTTTTTCTTACTGTAATTTTTATATACATATCTAAAATATGGCAATGGATGTAAAAAAAAATACCATATGGTCATTTTCGCGCTCTTTTAAGAAATACAGAAGCAGATGTTGCAGCAAAGGTATTTGTTTGTAATAAGTTGAAGAAGTATTAAGTTATTTTTTATTTAGAATTTGGTCACGTTGTTTTAATATCAGCTTCGTATGCAAATATAGGTATTTATCTGCATTTTTTTTATTTTGTGCTACATTTTTCTCATTAATTTATTTGCCATAATGTGAATGGCCTGAGAGAAGCTAAAAAAATTTTAATACATTGATGCTCTCGATGGCCTCCCTAAAGAACAGTGTTGAATTTACCCATAGCTTTAGAAGTATTTGTACAAATTTCGTCCTTAATATTTACCCACAAAAATAAGGTCAGGAGAATATAGGGTGGCCCAGACTAAATAAACTCACTAATGCTAAACAACATAAGAACAGCCAGGGAATTTTATCAATCTATAAAAATCAAATTACATTATTTATAATTTATTTATTTTAATTTTTCTTCGGCCACTGTTGCAAGTTAATCTTATAAACACATATTCTGGTATGAAAATTCTTCCAATTTTCAATAAAAGTAATTTATATACTGTAGATCAGTGTTTCCCAAAGTGTGGTACGCGTACCACCAGGGGTACACGTTCTGCAAAAAGCGAAAATTTCAAAAATATTATTTAAAATCAAAGGTAGCCTTGAAAATGTACCATTACGTACTTTTCTATTGGCTATTTTTTGCAGAGTTAATAATTAGTGATGTCAACAGCCAGTTGTGATTTTAACTTTTGTGCGATTTTTTTATGGTAAAAAATAAATTGATTTTTTTATTAGTGGTACACAGCGTTACGAAAAATATAGAAAGGGTACACAGAAGTCATAAGTTTGGGAAACACGCTGTAGATAATGTCTTGTGAACAGTCTATCATTAACTTTGAAAAATATTTTAGCCATTCATAACTATAAGTGCTTAAAGGTGCTTATTTTCATTTTTTGAAAGCCCTTAAAGGTGCTTTTTTTCATTGGGTGTTTTTAAAACGTGCTTAATTTTTCCCTATTTCAAAATGAGATTTTTTATTTACTATGTTGATTTTCGCTTCGCAGGGGTCTGTCTAGACATTTTGTGAAGGGTCCGTTTTTGTAAAATTGTGAAAAAATTACTCGTAATTTGTGAATATAAAATAAACGTTAAGGCATTCTTTCCACCAGGGTCTGTTTTTGTTAATTTGTGCAAATAGGGTCAGTTATTGCAAAAAAACTTTTGCAAGGAGTTTTTAAATTGTTAATACATACAAGATTATGATCAACACTGTAAAATTAAATTTTAAAAAATAAACAGCAATTGCAGATACTAAATTAGCTCTGCAGCATATAAATATTTGGTATTTACAGTGTTTTCATCTCAGAAAAAAAATGGGTGAGAATTTCTCACCCTTTCTCAAAAACAGGGTGAGATTTCAAAAAGTTAAGTGAGATNCTTTCTTCCCCCCCCCTTCCTGGGAAGGGTTTATTCGATTAACAAAACAATAATGATTATAAACAAATTTGTGAAGGGTCCGTTTTTATGAAAAGATATTTTGTGAAGGATCCGTTAACGGACCCAAATTTCTTCTAAACAGACCCCTGCTTCGAATTGTGCAAAAAGACACAGTTTACATCGTCCTATTCAACGTCTTCACAATTAATTCAACCCCAATCTATTTCGGCGTATTGTCAGTCCGTAGCGTATGAAAACGCCATTCATTTTACACGATTCAAAATTTCATGATTTTTGACAATTGTCAAAAACAACACCAAAAGTTTTTTTTTTGACATGGCGGTTATAACAAGAGAAAACAGTAAATTGTCAAATACTTTCCAACCCTGCCTAATTAATGAAATTTTTTAAAGTGCTTAAAAATATTTTTTGAGTGGTTGAAAAGTACTTAAAGGGTGCTTATTTTTTGTTGAATAATTTGGCTACGCACCTCACATGTTTAATTTTTTTTTTTTTTTTTTTTTTTTATTTTNTGTTTGATTTTTTTTTTTTTTTTTGTATTTAGATATCATGGGAACTTCTAGAAACAAGCTGTCATTGCTAGCTGAGTATGATGATTTTTGTAGACATATGAATGGATTAGCAGAGGGATTTGAGAAAGGTTAGAAACTTATTTTAAATTTATTCTTCATACTAGGCATGCACAATCTTTTTCGGTAGAAGGCTATAAAAAAAACATTGCTAAACTTTAGAGAACTGTTATAAAGTTAATTTTCATATTAATTTTACAGGGATGAGATTTTTCCACTTTTTTCTCTCTAATTTCAGCCTTTTTATTGAGAACTCAGATTCTCTAAAAGTTTCACTTTTATATTCCGCTTTTTTAGAAAATTCAGCTGTTGAAATAAAATAATTATATTTATTTTAATAATTATAGCTATTTTTTCCACTTTTACATGCAGAAGATAAGATTTTCCTCATTTTTACCAGCTCACCAGATAGCTCTTATTCTTGTAATTCAAACAACCTTTTTGGAAGTCCCAAGCCCGGAGTCTGCTAATATCATGATTCTTATTCACGCTATTATAATATCAAACATAGCTTTTCGTCATGATTTTAAAACTTCCGCTTTGCAATTCTTATTCGGGCGATTTGAATATCTGCGGTATTCAAATCTGCGAAAAATGTGATATTCAAGTCTTCTTATTTATGACATTTAAATTTAAACATCCAATATTGCAATTTGCATTTACACGTTTTTAAAATCCAATTTTGTGATTCGTTCATGCGGTTATAATATCAAACATTGATTTTTTTATTTATAAGTGATTCGTATTTAGGCGATCTAAAAATTACGAATCATGATTTGTATTTACGCGACTTAAAAATTCTTTATCGCAGTTTGTATTTTATCATTTTCAAAATCAAATATCGAGTTTCATATTCACACGATTTTAAAATCGAAGATCGCAATTTGTATTTACCCGATTTTAAAACCAACTATCACTATTATTATAAGAAGTAAGTTTTTTTTTTCTTTAATTAGTTACTATAAAGATGACTGTTATTCTATCGACGATTATTACTATATAAAGGCATTACAACACAATTAAACTGGCAGAGAATATATTCAAAACTTGCATTCTGTGCTGGCAAAAAAAAAAATATAGGATTTGTCAAAAGATGTTTGGAGATGGGCTAACGACTAAATTAGTCACCAATCTATTTGTGTCAGTTTTGCTATTACTACAAGAATATATAAAACTTTTCCCAACTGGAGCACCCCTCATTCACAAGCTGCGTTACAAGCAATTTGACCTTGTTAAAGGATTTTTTTGTTGCTTGTTTTGTGAAACAAAAAGCATTTGCAATAATCAGAAATTAAACAAACAAAAATATATATAACAGCAATAATAGATAAAGAAAAAGAGGTCACTCACCTTTATTTATGCTATACCCAAATGCAAAATTCTTATCAAATGAAAAATAATTATATAAACAGTTGCTGATGATAATCATGTAATTTTTCAAACTAAAATAACAATTTTTGTATGTAAAGGAGTTGCTATATTTCTACTTCACAGTTATTGATATGTTTGGGCCCTAGCTAGATTAGATTGTAATATAACGTAGTGATTCCAATTGTGAAAGTTTATTCTCTTTTCTAAATAATTTTAAAAGACATGTTTGATATCTATGCTATAAATCACGTAACAGTATTTATTAAAAGAAATGGAATGTTAATGTATATTCTCAGTAGTTTTAATTTGCTAAATTAGTCAGTTACTTAAGTAATAATTGTCTCTTATGTGAACTGAAGAAAAATATAATTTCTACAGGGTATCCACTCACCTGGAAAGTCATGAATTTAGGTGTTGAACTAAATTTGTCATGTAACTTAAAATATTATCTCCACTAAGTAATTAGCATATTCGAAATCACCCCTTTGAACATTAAGATTGAAGCCTTTTTCAAGGTTTTTTTTTTTTTTTTTTGCCCTCTGTACATTTAAATTAGTTGTGTTAATAAATTGTATGTTAATAATGTAGTTTTCTCACATAAATTTTATTCAAGAGCCATGTGTTGAACACCCCTACCTACTATTTACCTATCATTGCGAATTATAATTTATTGATAAAATGAAAATAATACTGCTTGTTTTAGATCTCAAGTTTTATGTAGCGTCTCGGAAGAATTCCTTTCAAAATGTGAAAACATTGGTAAGTGAGAATAAACAGTTAGAACATAAAGTTAACTGCTTAGAAAAAGATAAATTACGTCTGGAGGCTGAGTTAAAGCAAACAAGGTAAGCTAACATTTGTTGCTTTGTTCAATGTTTTGGATTCTTTTATTTATGTTAAATTATGTTCTGAGGAATTTGGATAAGGTTTTTTTAGTAAAAGTTTTTTTAGACTTGAGATTTACAGAATTAAGTTATTTTCTAGAAAGATTTCGTCCTGTATCTCGATAAACACTTGTATGAAAATGCATTAGGATTTCCTGAAATATGTTGACTAATTTGTATTATTATGCTATTTATTTTTTTTTTTTCTGTTCTATTGAGTCATTTATAGTTTTGAGGTTGTGGTAAGTTTCTTATACTGATATTTTATTTAGTTAAATCAAAAGCTACATTGATGACTTAATAGTTTCAGCATTTGCTTGGAAGTTTTTAGTGATGCATTTCCCCAGACACCACTAAGACATAACTTGGACGATGAAAAAAATGCTTCTTAATTATGTAATCCGTGGGGGTCAAGCCATCAGATGTGCACAATAGTATTAACAAAGAGGGTTACTATTCATCCTTATTTGTGACCTAAATTCTGCATTAAAGCAAACTCTATTAGAGTCAGTTCAAAACTATGTATTTTATCCAAATAATAAAATAATCTGTAAAACTGATACGGAAATATCAGCTTTTTTATTTATTTACTTGTCATTGATAGAAGTATATTCAATTGTAATGGCAGGGATATGCTTAGAAGCAGTATTCTCTCCCTATTTTTTCAGTAAAATTTTTTTTTTTTCAATAGTGCCATTTATTATTAATGAAGAAAAAAATTTATTTCTTTAATTTATATATATATATGTGTGTGTGTAATTGTTTTAAGCATAATAAATATTTTTTTGTTCTTTGGTTGGGTTTTTTGTTTCCTTTAAAGTAAAAGTTCTGTGTGTAATTTCACAATAAGTACTAAAGTACCTTTTGTGAAGATCAAAAATTTAGGGTTCTCTTGTATAAAGCTCCATTACTTGAACCTGTTTATGCTGATAGTTTTTTTAAAAGGGCATGTAGAAGTGGACAATTATTAAAAACATTCCACATTGAGCAATGTAAAAGCTGCTAATGCTGTTAAAAATTATTGTGGCTTTTTGTGTGCTTAGAGGAACAACCACCATCTTTAACACCGACCCATTATTTTTCTTACTTAGTTATGTTCGCTGGATCACTTAAAATTATTTTAAAGGATACTTCCTTAAATTTTTCTAGTAACCAAGAACTTAAAATATTTGTGCTAAGTATTCAAACTTCAAAGTAATATTTAAACTATTTATTTTTTACATGATTAATCTCTCCACTTTTTATATGTGCAAACATGCAATGAATTGACATGAAATTTGATTATGTTCTTTTGATTATAATATTTGTTTTATTTTTCAAAGGAGCCAATTGATTACTGAACATAACAAGTCTCAACAATTGAAATCAGAAAAAAACTCTCTGGTAAGTTTGATTTGTATCTCAGTCAGTTTGTCATAGTTTCAGTTCATAGTGTCATAGTTTTCTTTCATTTGTAAATATTTTTTCTGTTAGAATAATAAATGTTATTAGGGATAAAAGTAAACTTACACATAATTATTCATTTAAATTATGCTGCATATAATTCATTTTGAATATCATGTTTTGAAAATTTTAATGATTTAAATTTATAAAGATATAAATTTTTTGAAGGATTTTATTCAAGAAATTTTCAGGATTTTTGAGTTGGACCTACAATCATCCCTGAACTATCTAATAGTGTTCTTAACCTAATATATTTATTCCTTTTTCTTTTAAAGATTAATTTTAATCTCAAAGCTCATGTTTACTGCTCTTTTTTAATGATTTTTCACTATTAAGTTAAATATTTAAATACCTTCATAATATTCTAATCAGGTAGATTTTACATATTTATTCACATTTACATAATTTTCACATATTCATTTGCAGCATTAATAGTTGTGTTGAAGAGAATTACAATCTTGTTCAGTGTGTCACCAGTTTACAAATTCTTATTTCTATTCAACGTAAAGCTATTGATTGTTTTAAGTTTAATTTACGTCTCTGGTGGACTTCTTTAAATTGTTGTAGTAATGTAAACTAAGGGCAACCAAGATCTTATTTCATTTCATATTTATTGTTCTAAAATTGAGTAATTTGTAAAATCTCTTATTTATTCATTATAATTTTATAGGAAAACTTTTTAGTCCCATAACATTATAAAATTTAATATCTTGTCCCATAGGAAAGGCAGATAGTCCTTATCAAAGAGCTTTTAAATGATCAAAATGGCATAGATCATACTACAAAAGAAAGACTTGTTCAACTTAGTTCAGCAACTAGTCAACACAATGGATATTCCTCAAAGTAAGCAAATTTCCAATTTGTACTTTTTCATTAGTGTTTGACCTTTTATGTCATGCAGAAATCATTGATGAATATTAAGTCACATCAAATTGTTAAAAATAAAAATTTTGTTAAGTCTAAACAAAATGTGTTTTTGTTAAAGCAAAAACAAAACTATNTTTCGGCCATTTTTTTCCTGCAGCAAACCTGATGCTGCATATAATTCATTTAGAATATCATGTTTTGAAAATTTGAAGGAATTTAATCTAGTAGTGTTCTTAACCTAATATATTTATCCCTTTTTCTTTTAAAAATTAATTTTTATCTCAGAGCTGATGTTTACTGCTCCTTTTTAATGATTTTTCACTATTAAGTTAAATATTTAAATACCTTCATAATATTCCAATCAGGTAAATTTTACATATTCATTCACATTTACATAATATTCACATTCATTTGTAGCATTAAAAAGTTGTATTGAAGAGAATTAAAATCTTGTTCAGTGTGTCACCAGTTTACTAATTTTTATTTCTATTCAATGAAAGTTATTGACTGGTTTAAGTTTAATTTACATCTCTGGTGGACTTTTTTAAATTGTTGTAGTAATGTAAACTAAGGGCAACCAAGATCTTATTTCATTTCATATTTATTGTTCTAAAATTGAGTAATTTGTAAAATCTCTTATTTATTCATTATAATTTTATAGGAAAACTTTTTAGTCCCATAACATTATAAAATTTAATATCTTGTCCCATAGGAAAGGCAGATAGTCCTTATCAAAGAGCTTTTAAATGATCAAAATGGCATAGATCATACTACAAAAGAAAGACTTGTTCAACTTAGTTCAGCAACTAGTCAACACAATGGATATTCCTCAAAGTAAGCAAATTTCCAATTTGTACTTTTTCATTAGTGTTTGACCTTTTATGTCATGCAGAAATCATTGATGAATATTAAGTCACATCAAATTGTTAAAAATAAAAATTTTGTTAAGTCTAAACAAAATGTGTTTTTGTTAAAGCAAAAACAAAACTATCTGGGAGCTCAAAAATAAAGATGTTATATAAGGTATTATTCCAAATTTGAAACAATGAAAATATGTAATATATTACAATATTGTGTGTAATCTAATTGCAATAAATATTAGTAAGATATTTCATGTTTGTCCTCGATCAACTTTATAGTAGAATACAACATAATTCTAAAAAAGAAAAAAAATTACTTTTTTTTTATAAATTTTTTACTTTAAAAAATTGTTAATAATATTTATTTCATATAAATAAAGACTTGTAGTTTAGTTAAAGTTAATAAAGGAAAAAGCTACTATGTAGAAAAAATTTAAAAATACTATTTCTAACATATAAATAAAAACTTTTTATAGTTAAAATAAATAAAGGAAAAAGCTACTATGTAGTAAAAACTATAATATGCAGAAAAACTGTGAATTTTGGGTATTATCGCATGATTTCCAAATTCCACATTGCTATTTATATTCACGTGATTTTAAAATCACAATTCCCTATCTATATTCGTGCGATTTAATACATCACACTTTATGATCCGTATTCGGGCAATTTAGAATGTAATGTCGCGATTTATATTTCATCATCATCCTAGTTGGTCAGACAGCCCAATGTGAGCCAATGCCTTCCTCTGACGATTTTTCCATGATGACTTCCTATTTATCTTTGATCTCCAATCATTTTCACTCCCATCTCAGCTGCGACCTTCCCCGCTTTCTTTTTCCAGTGGGTTTAAGAAGCAGTATCTTTTTTATTGTGTTGTCACTCATTCGAATCATATGGGCGATCCAATTCATGCAATTTGTATTTACATAATTGAAAAATCTCGCGTCGTGAGTGCCATAAGTGTGATTTAAAAATGCCATAGTGCGTTCTCTATTCCTGCTATATTTAAAAAATCATATTCCAGAATTTGTATTTACACAATTTGAAAACACATCGTGATCTGTATTCGTGCAATTTAAAATTCCCCCTCTTTACCATATTTGTGAAATTCAAAAATTATTACTTGCGAAAAATACTCATGAGATTTAAAAATCACATAGTGTGATCTCTATTCGCGATTTGTATTCTCATCACACACCACAATCTTCATTCATGCTATTTAAAAAATCACACAACTTGTGATTTTTTAGATGGCATATATCTTGGCATGATTTAAATATCAAATATCGCTATTCATATTTGCGTGAAAAAGAAATTTCACGTCCCGCTGTGATTTAAATATCATATATTGTAATTTTTATCCACGTGATTTAAAAATTACGCATCATGATTTATTACATAGACAATTTATTATATTCAGTATGTAAACGGGAAATATTTATAACTGTAAAAGTTTTGCTAAAACTAAATTTTAACTATGCTGGTTTTGAGTTTAAAAAATGTTAGTTTTTTTTTCTGTTTAAGATTTGAAATATATTTTTTGAAATTTTATTCTGATTTCATTTGATGTACCAGAAATGAGGCTTAAAATATTTTTATTTAACATTATTTTTATGATGTGTTCTCTATTTGATATAAGCATCTCATTTTCACCATACATATATATTTTTTTAGAATTTCATGTTAATATCAAATATTTAGCAATATTTTATGATATAAATATGTTTAAAAGGAAACTCGCAAAATAAAGGAGAGATATTTTGAAGTTTTTATGGTTAGGTATAAGAGTGTTCATGTTTATAATATATTTACATTTCTTCTATGTAGTTGTATTAAAATTATATTTGTTACATTAAAAGAAAATTTTATTTTAAACCTAATTTTAAAAATAAATTTTGATGTCCATATTTTTGTTTGAAATGTTTTTTTATTTTATTTATTTATTTTTTATATGTAATTAAATTATTTTAATAGTACAGTATATTCTCAACACAGTTAGATAATATAGACGCATGCGTGCACAACACGCGCAGATACATTGATGGTGATTCTCCAATTTTGGAGGTACTTTTTTTTGTTGTAGTGTAAAGAAATGTATCCATGTGCACAAAAAGAAAAAAAATGGAGCAGACAGCTTAATCACGATTTATGCAAGGCAGAAGAAAGCCAGTGTTGTATGCATGCTGCTCCCTAAGAGAAAAGATAATTGTCACTTCAGCATAAAATATTAGCAATCCCATCATTAGTGGTTGAGCCTACAATCAGCTGATTTTTTACAACTTAACTCGACGCGACTATAGTTTTACAATGAAAATAGACTATTTCGGTGAACTTAGGAAATCTTTTAATGTTATTTCGTTTGGTGTGAAATAACTAATATTACTTAATATGATAATTACTTTTTATGAATGTAGTTCTATGTATAACTATTAATATTTCTCTAATGTTGTTAATGTGCCTGTGTGTGTGTATGGTCTAGAATAAATAAAAATATTAAATAGTTAACTGTTTACGTATATTTACTAAAGTACGCATATTTAATTATGTAGATACTTTATGTTTTTATCTTACTATGATTCTCAATATCTCGAACTTCGGTGCCTCGAAAACCCTTTTGTCAAAAAATTATTTTTACCCTTGACTTTATGTATCCACCTAACGTTAATTTGAATTCCTATGTCGAAGAATTTCTTCTCAAACTCTTATGTTGAATTTTTTCTGAAAAATCTCAATGCAAGTTTATTGTAATCCAATTTTTTTCTATTTAATGAATAATAATTTTTTTTTGTCTTATTTCTAAAAATAAAATTATCATTGTTGAATTTATATTTATAGTCAAATATCATTACATGCATATTTATTAGTAATAATTTATATGTTTTGTGACTATACTTTTTAGAAAATATTTAGTTCTGAACTTGTTATCTCGAAGGCTGGTTATCTCGAAATTTTTTTAGCATCCCTTTTGATATATCGAGAGTATACTGTACATGGAATGATGTTGATACTTTTGTTCCGTTGAAATTAAATTATCATAATTCCTAGGTTTTTAAGAAAGAATGTTACTTTCGTTTATATCTACTTTTTACTATGTTGAGTTATCGTTTTAAATTATTACTAATTAATAAATTATTTATTAACCTGTGTAAATCATGAAAAGTGTTTGGTAAGAGTCATGGATTTAAGAACTCAAAATTTAGCAAAAACTCTGTTAAGAAACATTCACAGAAATTTTCATATTTAACTCCACTATATTTATAAATGTTTTAATCTGTGAAAGGAAATTTATTTTTGTATAAAAATGTTATTGTTTGTGCCATTAATTCTGATAGTTTCTTGGAACATTTCTAAGAATTCATAAGGTGTAAAAATCCATCCAAAAGGTTTTTAAGGTTTTAAAAATAAATTGAAACAAATTAAAAAATATATTAATTTTATTATTATTATTTTTGTGCTTTCAGTTTTATTTTTAAAGAGTTAAATATTTTTTACCAATAAACAGACAAAGCAAAAATATAGATGGCTGTACTTAAGCACATATGTATATTTTGTTTTCAAATTTTAAAACGTAATTGAGTTCAAAATGTTACTTTTTTATATCTGTTCAAATAGTAAAATTATCATAAATATTTAAAATATATTAATTTTCTAGCTTTAAGCCTTTTGAAGAGTCCGCATCTTTACTATCTTCTGATGATTGTGATGAAACCACAGATGAATTGGAGAGTTCTGAGTCACACCCTCGAGGCAACTCTAAAAACAAAAACTTGAAAACAATAAAAGACAAAAACGAAACTTCAAAGGTAATTTTTCTAATGTTTGCATACAAAATTCTATTCTTTATATATATATATATATATATTGTGATCTATTTTATTTGTTATTTTTATAAAAAAAAATTTTGAGTGCTCCTCACACTATTGTATTAATATATTTTGCTTTGGCTTTATTGATACAATATCAGAAAGCACTCTGTTTTGCGGATATAATCGTGTGGGCTGAAGAAAAGATTATATCTTTNATGGGTATGGAATGAAGCTCCACAATAGATTTGTCTGCTTACGGTTAATAAGGGTTTTTCAATTCCAAGGGTCCCTTATGATTTTATTAATTTTCTGTCCCACTTAGTTCGTAACAAAAAAAATGAGCAGCTTAAATAAATTATTCAATACTTTTCACGATTTGCACAGCATAGTAGTTTTAAATTTTTGCGTTCTTAAAAACTACATTCAACTCAAAGAATAAGAAAATATTCATGCCTGAGGTATTTTGTGTGTGTGTGTGTGTGTGTGTGTGCATAGAATATTACGCCTTATAAAATAGTACCTTTCTTTACTGCTATTTAATCAATCTCAAATTTTGTGTAACCAAGATAAGGATTAATTTTAGAATGAACTGAACAAAGTGGAAAGAAACTGAAAATGACCATTACTATTTTTGGATAAATATTATAAGAATTGATTGAATTTAAGTAATTTCGCATTTACTTTTTACAAAACATAATTTCGTAATTATTTTAATTTTATATGAAACTTGTATAATTTTTATTTCAATTATTATTAGGTCAATTATGTGTACCTTAGTTGTAATTTAACTAAATGCAAAGTTTGATTTTGAAGAAAAAGTTAAGAACTAATTGCCCAATGTTCAATGAATTTCTCCACGGTAAAATTGCAATTTCATACTTTGTATTTTCTTTGCCTATGTGTCCAAACTACGATGTTACAATTAAAAATTTAATTTAATTTTCTTTAAATTGAAGCAAATTTTACAAAATTTATTGTTTGGCAAACAGTAGGTATGCATTTATAAGCTATTTTGTAATTAATATTTATCTTAAACTAAAAAATACTACAACAAAGTTAGTCAATAGTTTGAGAATGTTTTATTACCTGCATTGGACAGTTAATACACATCAGATTAAGAGATATCAAACCGCAACTTTATAATTTTAAACCTAACTAGAAGGCAAAAAACTCCTGGATCAGGCATTGGGACTAACTGGACAATGTAGAGGAATTTTTGTTAAAATTACCTCGCATATGCATTCTATAGAAAGGAAAAACACCAGGAGATTCAAACCTATTATTCCTCTACCCGTGAGCATACTTTGCATCCACAATTTTGTTTAGGTGCTGGTAGCATTGAGTTAATCTAACTATCGCCGTTATTTGAACACCTAATGTTTAATTACGTGTTCAAATAACGGCGAGTTTGAGTATTAACATAGAAACTTCAAACTTATTTTTTAACTTGATTATTAAATTTATTTCTGTACACAAATTTTAGGGAAGTTCAACTTATTTGTCTTGTGATGATCCTATCTACCAAGATCAAACAACCGTGCGTAGGAATAGTATGATTGCTTTTCGTAGCAATAGTGAGCCAAACTCTACTTCGCCAGAAGTGGTTATAACTCGCCAAATTATAAGATCAGGTTCGATATAAGTCTTTATATTATAAATTATTTTATGTCTCTTTTACACGCTTGTAAAGCTTTCTATCTGATATATGTGAAAATTTATATTTAAATAGTTGAACTAATTTTTGATACAATCTGAATCATTATAGCAATATCATTAATTAAACTCGGGTCTTACTTTAAAAAAGGTAACATTACCATTAACTTGATATTTGGGATATAAATGCAAAATGAAGTTTTTATGCCAGGCTGGACAGTCTGCTTTTGATAAAATAGATTGAACACTGTTAAGAGATTTGTTTGCAAAGACCATTGAATAATCAAATAAAAAATGCCCTGAATAACTTTCAATGTACTTACTCTATATCTATAATAGTCTACTGGCTTGCGACATGCATGTATATATATAGGAAAAGCTCTAATTTTTGCAGATATAAGAAATGTTTACTTTTCTGCTGTTTGTGAATTTATGTAGCTGCTTAATCCGTGTCCTTAATTTCAGATTCTGAACATATAAAGGAACGCTCTTTTGATGGAGGCAAAAGTTTTAAGCATAATCGAAGTGTAAAGCATAATCGAAGCAGGTGAGCATAGTCCAAGTTTTTTAGTACTAAGAACAATTTAAGTTTCGATTGTTAAAATCTTACTGCTATTGCTAACTTTAATGGAAATATTTGGGGGGGGGAAAGTATATCAAAAAATTCGATCATTTATGCCTTAACATTTAATTATTTTGTCAATTTTTGAACTTAAAAGGGGGGGGATCAAAAGTTTTGTTTGCAATTTTTTAGGTGTTTCTCATATTTTGATAGTAGTAACATGATACCATGCTCCTAAAAAACCATTTTATACTGTATAAAATAGTTGCACATGTACACCTTGACTCTGTTGTCTCGTTAAAACTGCTGTTCCTGCAGTACTTTAAGCCCATTGAAGCATTTATGTGGAAGTCATGTGGGGACAGATCTTGACTAGAGAAGTGGGGATCAGAACTGTTAGTGCTTATAAATGTTGCATTTGTAGTCCAGTATTGTTGTGCAACAACTCAGTGAAATTCTCACAGCTTAGTAAAACAATAAATACTTAAAGAAAAAAAATTTTTAACTTAATTAGGTCCTCCCCCCCCCCTTAACACCAATGCCATAATTCTTTTTTTTTTTTTCGATCTTCAAGGTTAATTGGGCAGTTTCGACTAAAAGAAAATTGCTCTAAAAAATTTTTTCTTTCTTGTATTGATTAGAACTGACAGTGTATTGCTAACTAATAATTTAATGTTTTGCTCCAGCTATTTATTTATTTATATTTCATTATAGCCTTCCTATCGATTGCTGTGGTGTTGGAAAACTGGGAAAAGCTCATACTTTTCAAACAAAAACATTCATTCGCGCTGAAAAGTGTCATCCCTGTAGTAAAACGATCAAGTTCTGCAAGCAAGGTTTAAAATGTTCTGTTTGTAGAATCAGCTGTCACATTGAATGTAAAGAGCAATGTTCATTGCCTTGTTTACCAGCTATTTCTATTCCCACTAAAGGATCAGTAAGTTATTCTCTATATATTCATGTATTTTTTTAAAAAAAATATTGTATGTCAATTATAAAAATCAGGGTTTCTGCAATGTAGGGGAAACCTAATATTTTCAGAGAATTTGATTTTACTTTTTAAAAAATGGCAGAATTGTCAGATAATATTGCAAGTTACAATATTATCTGTTAATCCCAGCAAGGAACGGTATTCAAATCAACCAGCTAGGATTCAAACCTGGATAGTCTCACTGAGTTCTGAGGCAGATTTGTAAGTAGGGCAATTGCTGGACCCACTTACAAGTTTGAAATGATACTGAAGCTTGATGTTAAATTTCTTGCTTTATTTAAAAACAATGTTTCTATGTTGCATTCCCAATCTTTAAGTACAACAAAACAATAATCCACATGAGTGAACAAATTATTTTAAAAATAAAAATAGGTTTGCTAGGCTGCCAAGTTGACCCATTGACTGGCTCTTTACAAGGCTGATTGTGTTCCAGAAAAAATCCGGATTTCCGGAATTTTCGCTAACAGTGATCCGGAAGTTTCCGGAGATCGAAGGTCCAGATGTTTCAAAAATTCATTGATCACAGAAGTTTCCAGAAATCAAATTTTCAAAGGTGGAACTTAAAAACACAGTTTATTTTATTTGTTTGTAAGGGAGAGCCAGAGAGATACTTTATAAGCTTATATTCATGATTAATATTCATTTTTTATCAGTAAATAGTTGTTATAATCATAAACTCAAGAAAGAAAGACATATTTGTAAACTTTAATTACTTCTCCAGGTCATCATAGGTATGTGTAAATGGTATAGATATGTGTAATATATAAATATATTTTAAGTAAACTAAGAAATATTGAGAAAAAGGAAAAAAAGTCCTTGCTGAAATTTTTTTCTAATTTTACAATTTAAACTGTCAAGAAATTTTCCGGAATTTAGACTTGGGCTCACAATCACCCCTGTCATTAGGACATAAGAACATTAAAAGACTTCTATGTAGACCATGTTGGACACAAATGGTTGTCACACAAGTAGTGCTGAAATACTATGCCGTCAAGTTGACAAAGCAATTAACATATTAGTTAACACTTAACTATTAGTTAACACTTAAAGTGCTATTAGTTAGCACCTTTTCCTTTGTTGTAGTTTTTAAGTAACTAATAATAATTTAAAACATTAAATTTTTTAAATATTAATTTTGTTACTCACTAGTTATAACAGCAAGTTATGTAAAGGTCACTGTTGGTTAGCGATAGCTTAGAAGATGTCAAATAAAAATACTAGTACACTGGAACATCATACTTTAATATAAAGCTAACTATCTAACAACAACAGGCTCCAAAAAGGTTATTCATAAAAACATTTTAAAACTGGTTATTAAGAACGATTAAAAACTTAAACTAGTCGATAGCAAGCATCTCTTCTGAAAGTGGATGTCACCAGGGAAAACGAGATATCGGGACGATGTTCTTCAAGCTGCAGCAACTCCAATGCCAAAATTTCAACTCCTTAGATAGCGGAGAGAAAACTGTTCACTCCCAACAGTGGTTATCGGTAGTGTTCGTCCAAAAGTATCCTTCCGCGTAGGAACTATACTCTTTGATCTTCTTACCTCCGGCCTTCAACTCATAGCTTAATCCTCCTACCTCGTACTTGGTTGGGCCATGGTTTTCTAGCTGACACAATTAAACACCTATACAGCCACCAGTTGCTGCTCATATGATCACTAGCCCTTTCAGCATTCTCCATTCTGTGTAGTTCATTGAACCAGGGAAAGCTTTCAGCTCTTTTTTTTTTATTTATTGCTACAAAGATTGCTTGTTTAAGTGTCCTCCAGCTTGCTAAACGTAGCACTTAAGACAATTTATTTTTTAAAAAAATTCTTTTAGGTACTTTTTCCATTTTTAGTGCTAAATTTGTTTACATTGTTGTAAATATTAATTATAATTTACTTTATTTATAGGGCACTATTGCAGATTATACATCTTCTACATCTCCTATGATCCCTTCTATAATGGTACATTGCATTAATGAAATTGAAGTTAGAGGTCTTGAAGACATTGGATTATATCGTGTACCTGGAAGGGAGAGAGAGATAAAAGAATTGAAGGAGAAGTTTTTGAGAGGAAAATCTATTCCTTCATTGGTCAGTGGCATTATAATTTGTACAATCTGGTTTATGCCATAATATTTCGGATTAAACTAATTTACATTTAAAAAATTCACGAAATTTGCATTTCTTAAAGTTTAAAATTCTATTGTCTAACTTTTGAGGTTGCATCTCATTCGCATACCTGCCAACTCTTCCGGTTTTCCAGGGTTAGAGCAGAATCTTCCTTATTTGTCCCGAGTTTTCGGAAAAATAATAAAAACTCGCAAAATTTGGCTCTTGATGGCCTTTTGCGGAGCGATGTTCTGAAATGTGTGCCAAAATTGTGTTGCGGGTTACCGTAATAAGGAGAAACAACCCGGTTTTTGAAAAAATCGCCAACTCTGCTGAGGGTGTTACTGTAACATCGGTTTATGAAGAAGCGGGCGCATCTTCAGAGGAGTCCGTTGAATATAGGGGAGGTGGAGGAAGACGCTCTGCACAGCACTCATTGACGCCGGTCGGTCAATTGTGTCGCTGTTTACTTTCGTTAGGTAGACTCTCGTCTTCTCACTCTCAGATTAAGAAAGGGAGTTTTTGATTATCAATTCCCAAATTTTGCAATGAAATTTATACAGTATTAAATCTTAACAAAAGTAGCATAAAATTTATTTTAAAAAATAAAATCTGTTCAATATTTACAAAGTAGTGAGCAATGTTTACAAAGTAGTTTTTACTTAAACTATTACTATTTTCTTTTCCTGCCCACTGTAAAAGTGTATTGAGTGTCATCAAATAAAGGCATGAGGTGATTCTTTGGATCTGATATTTTTCACTTTCTATAGTATGCAGAAGCTTTCCAGAATTTGCTCTCAGCATTTTGTTGAAATATGTATAATTTTAATTAATAAATTTTTACTTTTTCTGTTTTTCCCCCCTTTACTTTCTTATAAAATATTAGGTTAAATAATTTTCTTCTGACATTAAATAAGACAATAATTTTTATACACTTCAAAGGCATACTTTGCTGTATAAAGATGTTATATAACAGGTTTTTGAAAAAAAATTTGTTTCATATATCATTAAATAATTTATTCAATTATTGTAATTATTAATTGCTTTCAATTTCTATTTTAACTTTTGAACTTTTTATTTGAAGTTTGAATTTTATTATTTGTTTAGAATGACTTAGACATTCACGCTATATGTGGAACTGTGAAAGAATTTTTAAGGAGTTTAAAGGATTCCTTAATTACAAAAGCTGCCTGGCATACATTTGTAGATGCTGCAAGTAAATAAAATTTTGAATTTATTGACCTACATAGTAGTAAATTATTTTTTGTTATAATGTTATGGTTGCATAATTTCTAAGAAATTTAGTTTTTAATGGCCCATCAATAATTTAATTTTTTTTATCAGTTTATAGCTTAATCATGCTCTAGCGTAATGAGAACAAAGCTAATTTGTTTTAAAAATTTAATGACAAAGTACAGCAAATTATTTGTAAAGTTAATGTTTCATATTTTTGAATTAAAAAATATTTAACATTCTATACCATCAAAGTAAGTCTTTAAATAGCATTTGTTTTTAACATATTTTGAGTTAAGAAAATATTCTAAAAAAAAAAAAAAGAAAGAAAGGTGATTTAAATTTTTTGGCACCTTGAATTAGTACTTCTTCATTTTGGAAAACTTAATCTTATGATATTCATGTTTTTTAAAAAATTGTATTAAAATTAGTATAAGTAAAGTTGTACAAAACAATTATTATGCTAGTTGTGTAGGCTTTTCCAATTTTAAATGTAAGACGAAGAGGGACATTGACCATTTGAAGGATGCAAGTTATGCAGCCCTATATTAGATATTTATTTTAATCAGTTTATTTTTTACTGTTTGTATCTATATGTTCTATATGCAATTTGTTTTTACATGAAAGTCTTAAATCCTAAAAAATACACTCTATTAAGGAAATAAAAAAAATCTTGGAGTTAATGTAGCTTCTCAAAGAAAAACTATATATTTATTTATATTTAGCCTCAATTTATTTATGTAACATTATATTTAAATATTTCTCTCTAGGAAATAATTTTCCTGGAGTCTTACAGAACATAATTTTGGAATAATACCTCTTTCTTTCTTTTTTTATCCTATAAGGTATCCAGCTAGGTTTGAAGCTATTTTAAAAAATAAAAAAAAAAAGCAGCCATAATTAATAAGATTTTTAAAAGCTAATGAACTAAAGTTCAAATATAGGCACTAAAAAAAAATCAAAATGTTCACTGCAATTACAGATTTTGTCCCAGTTTAATACTTTAAGGAAAGTATATAACTTTTAAGTTAATTAAGAAATTGAACCGAATAATTTGATGGTATATTCTGTTAACAGGGTCGATTAATTCTAAAAATCATCTAACAACATGTATTTACAAAGGAAATCCTGTTAATTATGCACTTCAAGAAGTGATAAAATAGATCAAAAATCTAATGTAGCTGGAAAATAATCAGCCAAAAAACAACGTAGATTTACGATTGTTACATTGATGTTAATTGAATATTTTAAGAATAGAATGCAAGAATAATGCTTAGTTATATAACTATGATTTAAGCCTTTTTTAGATTTTATTTCTGCAAGAAACCAATTGAGTAGTTTTTTTTTTCATTTGTATACTTAGATAATTCCTTGTGTTTCTATTACATCCTTTTTATTTAATGATTGAAGCTTTGTTAAATATGTTCGAAAATGTATATTTATATGTTTAAAAACGCAACTTTACAAGTAAATTGCTTCTTTGAATATAAGAATTAATTTGCTCAAACCAAATTTTTTTTCTGCTCCAAAATGGTTGTGCTGCTGTTCCTTCCCTGTTATTGACTAAATTTATATTCTCATTGTTAATGGGGATTTATTGCACAAAAGATAGAAAAAAATTAGTAAAATTTTGATTCTCTGATTTTTTTTTCCCCACTTATAAAGCAATTTCTTTTTTTCAATCAAACTTATGTTGAGTCTATATTTTCTAGGCCAATGTAATGAAAAGCACAAATTGAATTTGATTTACGAAGCTGTTTGTGATCTTCCTCGACCAAATAAGGAAACACTTGCATTCTTGATATTGCATTTACAAAGGTAATTTGTCAATAAATTAATATTGCTTTTTATTACTAGTTTTTTTCACAATTCTATGCATTTTAATATTATAAATTACTGACTTGTCTTAAGATATAATATATTCCATTTAAGAATTATTTTTTATAAAACATCGTTACAAATTTTTTAAATTTAGTTAAACTAACTTTAATGCATATTAATCATTATCCAATTACATGTAACAAGAAACGGAAACATTGACTTTGTTTCAGGGTTGCTGCCTCTCCTCACTGTCAAATGCCGCTTGATAATCTTTCTAAGGTGTTTGCTCCAACTGTTATTGGATATTCTGTTGATCATCCAACAGATACCAACATGTTTTCTGAAACACAACAGCAAAATAAGGTAAATACTTGTTAGGTTGATACTTGCCACTTCTGTACTTAAATTGAGTATATAGCTGTATACTATATATAATTTTTAACTTAGAAGGCTTGAGTTTTAAATTTTTTCTTCATTTCTATATGTAATTAATTTTGAAACAATTCTATGTTAACTATTTTCTTTTGATTAATTTTTATAGGTAATGACGGGACTACTTAAAATTCCTGCAGAATGGTGGCAAAATTTTTTCACTGGGGAAACCATCACTGATAATAAGCTGAAAACTCCAACGAATTTACCTGGTAAGAACTTAATATCTTGGCTATGTATGATAACTTAAAATATTGCAGAATTATAAACTGAAAATCTCATTAACCTTTGACATAACTAAATATTTTTCACTCATAACATGTGGTCCTCACTCTAAATGCATGTTTGTATAAAATATGAAATATAGTGAAGCCCCTGTGGCAGAATTTTTTCAAGCTGTCCCCGACAAAACACTCTAGCACTAATATCTTTTTGCAAAATACTTTTAATAATAACAAACATATAAGTTACTAATTTAAAGTAACAAAAGCGCTGTGTTTACAAAAAAAAAAAAAACTTGATTTTTTTTTTTAATAAAACATGTAATAATTTTTTATTCTAATATTATGAGTGATATTCTCGAATTTTGTGGGGGGCACACAAATTATTTCCTTCTTCGCATTTTATAAATAATTATCGCAATAAAAAGTATAATTAAAAATCATGAAATCCGTAGTAGTAATTGCCGAAAAAAACAACGGCAAAATTACGCAAATCGGGCTCCTCAAATGCGTGTTTGGTTTCGAGATTAACTTGTAGTAGTAAATTATATTGCATAAAAAATATAGGGTTTAAAAACTATGGAGAAAGTGATAACTGCCAAAAACTCGGTAGAATTATTGCCTTAAAAAGTAAGCTCTCAAATGCACGATTTGAATTTTCCATATTGTTCGAATATATCTGGGTATTTAAAATCTGCATGAAAATTAATAACTGCCGAAAATACAATCGTCAACTGAGAGCGTCAAAAAGTGATTATCTAAATGCGGGATTCAAATATTGCTTGTTAGTTTCTGTAGAAGAGGAAAGTAATTTTTTTTCAAAAGAAAAATCTTTCTGCAGGAACTCTGTAACGTTCTGCGACAATGTCACCGTGTCAATGCGATTCTGCCATGGGGAGTGAGACTAAATTAGGAAATTTCAGTATGAGTAGTTTATACTCTAATTTATATTCTAATTGATCTTCATTTTTGTTACTCCAAATTAACTGTAAAAAAATTCTTTTAATTTATAATTAGTAATTCAAAAGTGAATGGTTTTGGAGAATTTATTTCAACGCATCTGCATGAATTATCTCTAATCCCCAATTGTTTCTAAGTACAGATTTAATGTTGATTACATCGCAACACAGAAAGGATAGATTTCACATATCAATTGAAGAGTATGTGTCAGTAGATAATGAGGCTGTGCTGTGTTAGGCTCTTTCAATTGTGATGTGTGTGAAGTAAAAAATAAGTGAAACTGACCGAGAAAAAATTTTATGGTGCCAAAAGAAGCTTGCAACACTTAGGCTGTCTTCAACTGCATGCATGCTGCCTAAAAGGAGCAAAAACTTTATTTTTTTTAAATTCCACTTTTAATTGAAAAAAAAAGTAGTTTTGATATGCACTTTCTATATTAATGTTAAAGTTTGTTAAATTTCAATAAGTATAACTCAATATGTGTATACAGAAATTTTCAATCTTGTCTTATACATCTATGATTTATAATTTTAAATATTATTTAATCTGTCCATGTGATGCCAGAATTGGCATACACATATTTATTTTCTATCTTTTAAAATATCCTTCATTACTTAAGCTTATTTTTATTAATAGAATTACTTTTAAAATAAATCAAAAACTTAATCTTTTTAAGCGAACATAAAATATTTATTTCTTCTCTTCCAGATCAATGTAACGGATACTTTCTTTTTATTTCATTATTATGCAGACATATAAATTCACTGTCGCCTCTAATCGAAAACAAAAATCTATTTATAACTTTTTATTCTAATTTTCCAACGGCTAAATGTTTCGGTTGCATGGTTATAATAATTCACATAAATTTGTTGGCGACTCGTGATCGCCAAGGTGTTCTTTTAAACCCATGTGGATATGCTAGTTGGCTTTGTTTTTGGCTATGATATATTATGATAAATCGCCAAATTTTGGATCTCCTACCCATACTCTTTCTCTGTCCGTTGAGAATAAATATATTCACTTTGAATTTCTAAATTGGAGAGGCTGGGACCCCTTCGGGGGACTCCCAGTCTTAATTTTCTAACGGTCAGAAATGTTGTTCTGCCTTTATGATCTCTCAATAGAGAGTATTATTATTTTATCCCTTTAAGGGATTTCTTATTTTTTGAAGAAATGGCCATTTCATAATTTACAAAATTATGCTTAATAAAATCTAAATTTACATTCAACGATTTGTACATCATTTCCTGGAAACGTTATTGTTTTTATTCATTCAATATTGGCCAAAATGAACATTCATAATTCCACTATACATTAACCACGCCTAATGAAGGAAGCAGCAAAGCTTTCATCATTACAGTCCACTTGATTTTTATCCTTTATGAAGCTTTTTCTTTCGTTCTCATGAAAAATTTCATCAGGTTTTAACTGTATACAAAAATAAAAATGTAAGCTTTAAAACATAAGACTTATCACTGTCTTCCAATAAGCTCTTCAATTGATTGAAGCTAACTATTAATTAAATCAAGAAATGAGGCAATGCATGCTTTTTTTAATGGACGTTCTATATATTTTGCATGGAAAAAATTGGTCTTATTATTGTTAATCCAATAATTCTATCTGGAAAAAAAATCTTTTCTTTTTAAGCTTCAAATATTTTTATTTCCATTGCATATGAAACAAATGGTGTGAACCAAAAGATCTTTTAGAAAATGCTTACCAAAAAAAAATTTTAAAGTGTGCTCATATTTTTACTCTACTTTAATTGTCTTTATTATCAGGAATAATTTTTAATTTATATGTGATGGATACTTTATGAAAATTATGATAGAAACATTGTTAAAAATAATTTATTATCTGATATACAATAGAGTGTATTAAAACTAGCAAAGTTCACGGAATTTAATCAAACAAAAGAAGAAGAAATATATAGTGCCTACTTATTGTAATAAGAGTGTATAAGTGCTGAGATCACTTCATTGCTCTCAGTCTTTAGATGTTAAAAATGCAACAAAATATTTTAATCTTTGATTTTTGTCTACAAACTTAATTATCTACTACAATCTGTGAAACAATAATTTTAAAAACATCTAAACTTTATCAATGGTTATATTTTCTTTTCTTTATGTTTCAGTATTAATGGTAATATTATTTTCAGATGTGTTATTTTTGTTTTAAATTTGTAAAACTTAGTAATAAAAATTTTTATAGCCCCTGTAAGCAGTAGGCTGGGACCTATCTTCCCTTCTAACTCCCGTCCAAGCATTCCAGTTATTGTGAAAGCCAATCTTTCTCCAAGGTATTAGTGACAATTAAAAAATTTATACTACGATTTTATTGATTTACTGTCATGTCTGTGAGATCAGGATCTAGCAATCAAAATTTTGGCTACTTTTCGAATAATACTCTCTATCAGAACTTGATGTCTGATTTCAATGCTAGTTTTAATCATTTCTTTCCTCCCTGGAAATCCTGTCTTTGAAGATTATCCTACACTTTTCAGTTTAGCTATGATAAAAATAGTTTTTTTTTTTAAGAAAAATTTAGTTTTAAAATTTTTTTTTAATGTGTAATGTTTTTTACTCATGTTCTGAAAGAATATTTTCCTATAATAATATAATGTGTAATATTACTTTCGTAAATATGATTATTTTGTTATCCAATTTTATTAACTAGTAAATGTAAAAGGATATTATAAATTAAGTGATTCTAGAAATTTTACTTCGAATTACCTAGAAATTTTTGGAATTTTGAAAAAATTCAGCTTGAAAGCATTAAGGTAATCAGTGCAAAAATTATGAAATATTGGATTAGGAAATAATATTACATTGAATTATACCATATTATTCAACAATTTTAGATTTCTTTTGTTATTTTAAACTTTTATATTGAAAATTATATGTTAGTCTAATGCTATTATCATCAAAAAAGAAAACTTTGAAGATTCAAAATGACTTTAAATTTTATCAAGTGTTAAAAACTGAATAAATGCTTGTCATTTTCATTTAAAATGAATCTTATTGTAAAAAGTTAAAAATTATAGCTAAATATTATGTGTGCAAGCATTCATTTACTTTTTGAGTTTAATTGTGTAGCAAAGTAAAAATAGTTTTTTAATATTCAACATTTCTCTCACATTGTTTCAAAATCTAATTGTTCATTATAAAGCCATTTTCCAATGTTTTTTTAATTTCAAGTTTTATCACTTTATTTTTTAGGCATGCAAAATCTGGTGGAAGAACAGGCAGAAGGCAACGGTATTTGTCTCCAATTTTAAAAGACTGACAACAAAATTCAGTTTTTTTAACCAGATTGTTTTATTAGTTTTTTTTTTTTTTATGCTATTGAATGGAATGATTTAAATAACTTTTTTTGCAAGAAGAAAATTTACACAGATATGTTATTGAGTTACGGTTTATTTAATTATTAGAATTATATACAAATTCTTTTATTATGCTTAAAAACCTAAACTTTTCTTTTTGTCTATAAATTATTCACTGTAAGGTAATCATTTGATTTAAAAACTGTGTCAATGATCTTCGGCAAACATTTTTTTCTGCACTGCTTGAGAAAGCAAGATAAAAGGAATTATATTGTTTTTGTAATTTATGTTTCATTTCCACCATGATTAGTTTTTTAAATGTTTTAATTTATTTATCTGTGATAATCATTTTATACAGAAACTTTTCTATGTAAAAATAAATATCTAGTGTGATAGTCTTATGTTTATGTTCGCTCTTTTTGTACTGACAGATGTTCATACAATTTTAGAGTTTTAATCCTATTTTTAAGTATTTGCTATTTTTTATCCTATTTTTGTCCATGTTGTAAATTTTATAAAGATTTTTATTGAGTTTAATAAAAATAATTTTCAGAATAGTGTTTATGATTGAGTGGACCACTGAAAAAATATTGTTCTTATCTATATGAAGTGCATTTAGACCATATAATAATAAGCCACATTTTTACTAATTGTGAATTTTTATTACTGACTTGCCCTTGATATTTCACCAGCTAGTTACTCTATTATCTTGAATCTTCTCTAGATAATAGCACAATACATAGAAATGCATTATTGCCTACTAGGAAATTGAGTAGCATTTCACAAACATCTGAACAAGTTGAAAATGTTGCTTGTCATAATGACTTTACCCCTTCATATCTATACAAAGAAAAACCAGCTACATTTATATTTTCTGGTAGATAAATGCAATTTTTATTATAAAGTTTTATCCTTGATATGAACTATTTTACTAAAAATATTTAAAAAGAAGAAAGAGAATAGATTTACAGCAAACATTCCACTAAATTCTATATTCTTAGAATTGTATCTCTAATATTTGATGCAATTTCAAACGTATCTAAACTACAACATGACTGACTCAAATTACAATTAAAGTCCTAAGATATAAAAAGTCCTGATGCTTTTAAGCAAAATTTATTTTATTCAATCTCCATAAAGTTACTTTTATATTCACATTTGTTTTGTTGCTATAATACTTAGTAAGTACTTTCATAAAAATATAAATGTTTAAGACCACTCTGAAGAAGGAAAATATCCGAAATTTGTAACATGCATGTAATAAATATTTTGAAGAACCATTTATAATCGAATAAATATGTTATGTTTGTAGAAAATCTATAAGATGGACTTGAATAAAAGCATCTAGGAACTACTCCGTAGATAAATTAATATCCTGATGAAGGGAATACACAATAATGACTTTACTTATACTTAATTTTAAAAAAAGAAGCATTCTTAAATTAATAGTTGAACAACAAAAAGTTTCCTATATTTCATCCTTTGGTAGAAGCATTTAAAATTACTGCGTTGAAAATTATTAATTTTCCAACAAACTTCTTTACAAAATTACCTAATTTGATATGATGCAGAAGGAGATTTATTGTATCTTTAAGCTACATGAAGATATTTAAAAGTATGTGCTTTAAAAAGAAATTTCCATAATACAGTACCTAGTATCAAAAGTAATGTATTGTTAGTTTTTTTTTTTTTTTTTCTGTTAGTGAAGTAATATGTTCCGCACTTGTTTTGCTTTGAAAAATGAGGTGCTCAATTTCTGAGAATTTAATAATTAAAATTTATTGAGAGATGAAATTTCTCTGATTAGTTTTGAAACTGAGGAGATAGTGGTAAAAAATTATAATTATAGATACAGGTACTTTAGCATTAATAAAAATTTGAATATCAAAAATTATCACACCCATTTAACTAGCAATTAATTAAATCTGTTTTAATTACATGATAAGAGTATGCATGGGAACAGTGAATCGTAATGAAACCTCTAATCAGCCAGCCCAAACGCTGTCAACCTAGTTAGACTGTACACTTAGCTTTGATCAGTTAAGTGATTAAAGACATTCACTGTACGTGTCCTCCAAAGAAATTCGAAAACTTTGCTTGTGGAAAGATCATTTGTACTCATGTAATACCTTATAGTTCTCTCTTTGTACTATTTAAGAACAATTCTGTGCTTAAATAGTACAATACCATATTTAGATTTTTAAGCAACAAAAAAAAATTCTAACTGAATGTAAATAATTCTGAGTGCAAAAAATGGTCGAAGCTTCACGTTCCTCAAATATGTCAAGAATGGGATTGAATGATTCGAGGGGGTAACCTCAAATATGTCAATTAATTAGTGCGGACGATATTTTATGTTATGAAATCAGACACAAAAACTTACTTTTTCTGAATTAAAATACCTTTTTTTGACACATTCCGATTTCTGTCCTCAAAATATATAATAACCGTCATTGAACAGCCGAACAAATTTTGAGTTTACAACTGCCAATGTTCAACCTTGTTATTTTGTTCCTAATCCAGAAGACAGAGGAACTCTGGAATCAAGAATGGGGAGGAACTGTGGTGTATGTGAATTGATTGCGGAATTCGCATCAATCAGCCATCCCAGTGATTCAATCCCTAGTCACCTTATTAGAAGACAAGCACTCTATCCTCAGCAACCAGGGCATCCACAAAATGTTGTAACCATCATTGAACAGCCAAATTTTGGGTTTACGGCTACTAATAATCAATTTCCTAGGCTTCTAATTTTGGATTTAATCCACAGGACAAAGAAACTCTTAGATCATGTAAGTATAGGGAGAAATTTGCCTTTGTGAAGAACTTCTGATGGAACTAACTTGCATTTGTGTTACATGGAGAGGAAAACCTCACATGGTTAGCCTGATGGCAAGGAGAGTCCAACCCATGCTCCGTCTATCACTGACAATATTTTACGTTAACACTGTGGTCAGTACGACCCGAATACGGAATTCATATCGACCAGTTATTGTTGGGATTTGAACCCGGTTCAAATCCCCATTGGAAAGTTAACACTCTATCCTCTGAGCCACTATGGCTTTTCCTCAAAATATATGGGGTAGCCAACCTAATAGTTTGGTCAGAAGAGCAGTTCATAGTTTGGAACCCTTATTGTAGATTTTACTTTTTGCGTATTTCACCATGTCTCGAAAAAATTTTAAACGAACTGAAACATTTTTACACACAATTATAAAATTTATTTATATAAAGATAATTCTATACACAAAGTAACTTTTAGTAAATATGTTATTTAATAAGATTTGGAAAAAAATTTTAATTTACAGGTATAAAATTTTCTTATATCATTTTAAAGAATGTAATTTTGCAAGGCAAAATACAAAAATTTGAATGAAATCGGATTTTAAAAATATGACTACTTTAAAATTTTCTAATTGCATCCTTTGTGTATGATGGTCTCTCGAACATGTGAAGAAAAGTCAAAGTAACAAGTGAATTCACTAGCTACTTTGACTCTGAACTCACACTCATTCTTTGCTTGATCCCGCAGCTAACTGATCCTAAAGACACAGTTCCCAGTGGAATACGAAAGTCAAACATCACTAACTGCAGTCAGTAAGCCTTTTTGATCAGTCTGTGTAGGAACCGAGGGTGGGCGGAATAAACTGTTCTCCCGTAAAGTGCTCTACTTCATGCAGGTCGTCTGCGGAGGATGAAAATTTCACCTCTGCGGAGGATGAAAGTTTTGGTGGCATGTCTTCGGATGATTATCAGGGATATTTCCCAGACCGTCGCCAATAGCCCATTGTGCAGCTCTAGAGTGACATAAATAAAAAGTACGAAGGATAGTTTGTCCACAGTAAAAACTTTCCCCGCCACAAAATCTGCTGCTAGGGTAACAAGAGTAGCTCATTTCTGGGAGCGTAGCTTCTCTTCATTCTAGTTCTGACACCAAAGAAAAAAATCACTGAAGAAAAAATTCCCTTTGTCTCACCGACCCGAGCCAAAACTTGTCTTAGACAATGACCCAACACTGCTTCTTGAAATAGTCATACCTTGTTACCATAGTCACAGCCAAGAGTCCACCAGTAGGGGAGTTCTTACTTTAGACAAACTATATCTATCATTCTCGCTTGCACTAGATGCAATGAGATTGGTCCATGTGGGAACGATGAGGGACAGTTAACACTGCATTTTTCCCTCAACACCGATTACCAACAGAGAATAAAATCTGATTAGTGAAATGCATTATTCGGCCAGCTCATTTTCTTTGCTCTGGACTGCGATCTGAAATGCGTAAAATGCAAGCAGTGAGAACTATCTGTCCCACCAACCGTTTCCTATTTCACCATTTCTTAACCGCAACCGCATTAAACGTTAGTATGCGAAAATTTGAATTAAAAGTTGTTTTTTGTTTACTATCCTAAATTGATTCTTGTTTTCTGTACTTAACAATTATGTTTTTTAATTGACTTTAACTAGATTAGTTAAAATTGGATTGAATAAAAAGTTGAAAAATCTACATTTTGGGATTTAAGTATGAAAAGTTTTTATTGATTTCTCTTTGTTAATATTAATCTTTCTCCTAATATTACCGTATTCAGTTAAGTAACTAAATTAAAAAATTTATATGATACAGACTTGAAAATGAAAGTATAGATAATATGCTTTTCGTTTTCTTTCAAGAAATTGTCAATATAGAATTGTTTTATTCATGTGTAATGCATATATGAATGAAATTTGTTGCGTAATTTTTACGTTACTTTATAAGGAATTCTCCAAATAGGGTTCTATAATGATCAGTATACGGTCTCACCTGCTTTCCTGCTGTAAAATTTGATAGAAAATTCTTAACAACTTGCTTTGAAAATTTAATAACTGTTTTTCAAGCTAATTTTAATACATTTTTTTAAATTGTTATTCAAATTATTGTAGTTCAAAGATTTATTTAGTTAGGCGCAGTATGTCCTCATCTGGATCTTGCGCCACTAAACCCTACATTCAATCAATCATTCGAAGATTTATTTAATGAAAAAAATTATGTTTTTACGTAGTTATGCCCCAGAAAATTACTTATGCCTATTTCTCATTATCAAAGTTTATGCCTTGGAAATTTATAAAGCTTAAATTAAAATCATTGTAATAATTTTTTTAATGTATTGATTCTTATATTTCCTGTTAAAAAGATCCAAAGTATTTATTGTATATGTGTCAGTATTATATTCCTCTTTTTTAGATGTTACCTAACAACATGCCACAGCTATCTCTTGTTGCTCAATATGATGATTTATGCCGACACACCAAAAGTTTGACAGAGGGGTGTGAAAAAGGTTTGTATTTCATTTGTCATCTACTTGTTTATTATTATTGGTTGGTGTGTTTATTTAATATCCTAATTGTCATTCATTAGAATTCAAGCAATATGTTGAAACTAAAAAACGGCTCCATAGACGGAGAAAAGAAGCTGAAGCCGAACTGGAAATGCTCAGAAAGAGAGTAGCAGAGTTAGAACGTGGGAAACAAAAATTTGAAACGCGTTTAAAACACATGAAGTAAGTCTATTTAGCATGCTAATTGTAAAAAGTAAAGCTGTTTAGTGCATGCACGTTAGAATTAAAATGACAATCTAGAGATACGTCTTCTGAACCAGTTGTCGGTTGGGTATGTTGCCTCTCACCAACCGCCATATATTTCTTCCATTCCATCTCAATATGTGTTAACAAATATAATCAACATAAGTGAGATAAATAAATAATCAAAAAAAATATCTTAATAAATAGTACAATACTGTTAATAGACAGTGCAAAAAAGCAACTCCATAATTGTTCTCGTTGGAGATTCATGTAAAAGTGGAGTTTTAAGAGAAACCCTGCTCTGTGCTTTTCCCGTTATACGAAGGAAGGATGGGGAATCAATTTACATTGTGTCTAGGAAAATTTACCATCCTTTATGTATGTTCTTTGGTTACGGCTCTACAATTTTAAGATGTGCAATATGATTGCAGTAATGTATTCAGCTTCTGACAAAAGCTCCTTTACTTCACGAACAAGCTACCTACTGATTGCTGGGTGGGCTTCTGACCGCTGCTGAGAATTGAACCTCAGTCCTTCACAATCTCATGCTAATTGTACATTATTTGAAAAACAATGGCAAAATAAAACTTTTCCTAAACTAATAGTTTTTGGAAAAAAAACTAGTGTGTGTTAATACTGCAAAAACGAAAAACAGTCGGACTTCTATATAACGAACTTCCATTTTGCGAATTTTTTCAAGGAACCAAGAACATTTTGGAAAATTTTTTGTGAAAGAACTTCCAAATAGCGAAGTGAATTTTCTATTTAACGAACTTTTCTTTGAGATCCACTTTCCCTATTTCCCATAATATTTCAGAACATTTTTAAACTTGTTACCGCATTTTATGGGGGAAATAACCTAGAATTGAATATCAAAGCCGCTTCACTTTTAGAGAAAGCAGTAAAATCATTTTCTCTTTTTGTTCGCATTTCAAACGAAAAACTCCAACATAAACGACGAAATTAACGTGTTTTATCAATAGCAATTGAACTTTAGAAAGCGTGTGATAATGTATGTTTAAAATTACTTTTATAATAAATGCAGCTATAATTTTATATATAATTTTAGCTTTTTTTTGGTTGAAAATTGTATGTAGCATGATAGTGTAACACCAGATAATGTTTTGCTCTATTCTTGCTTTCCATGCAGATTTCTATTATGCTAAGATTTATAAAATAAATACAGTGCACTCCTGATTACCCGGGTTAATCACCGGGACAGGTCGCGCGGACAATCTGAAAACTCCTTTTATTAAAGACAAATTCAATATCAGTACAAAAAATATAAAAATTATTGACATTTGCATGCATAACATCAAACTAGGAATTTTCTTTATTAAAAAATGTGTAACGCGTCTTCGCCATATATCGATACAAATATTTTACGGGCCGCAGTAATGTCACTGTAATCAAATCCTCCCATATAATCTAATAAAGTTTCCACAGAGCAGCAGAATGAGAAATTGCAGGGGTCTGTCTAGGTTTTTCAGAGAGGTACCTATTTTGTGAAAATTTAGACATAATTTGTGAAAAATTAAAAATTATATTAAAAAATCAACACAAAAATATGGATTTATCGTTTCTTAAGGGATACAAAAATAAAATTTTAAGAAAAAGTATTTTGTGAAACTACCGTTTTTCATAAAATTGAATTTGTGAAACTACCGTTTTTCCTAAAGTTGAATTTGTGAAGGTACCGCTAAACGGTAGTAAATTTGGCCTGGACAGACCCCTGAATTGTATTTCATTCATTTACTACATCTTCTGCATCAGTTACTATCATCACTATTTGATTTAACAACATAACAACATCAGTCAAATACTGGAAACCAGGCTCACATGCATGACTTTGAAACCAATCTTCTAAATTTTCTTCATAAAAAAATTTGAAACCTTTGATTTCTTTTGCTTCTTCGAGAATACTGTTATCGTATTTTTCTTGAACATCTGAAGAGGATTGTTCATCAAGCGGTATCATCTTTCTCCAAGATCGTGATAACATAGACGATTTTACCTTTGACCATGCTGCTGACATTCCATACCCTGTGGCAGAATTTTTTCTGACTTTCTGCGACAAACCTAACTAGAACCAATATCTTTCTGCAAGATATTTTTATTGTTATAAATGTATGTGTAATGAATTTATAATAATAGATGAAATTCGTGTTTATAAAATAAGTCTACATGCATAGAATAAAACTGTGTAGATATTTTTTCTTCTTAATTTCATAATATAAGTTTACATTTCTTAATAAGTTTAAATTATTTAAGTATAAATTTGCATAATCTTCAATAATAACGAAAAATTATAAATGTATAGATCTGCAGACAAAAATGCTTACTAGAGCATAAATATAGATTACCCAGAACCTGTAATAAGACAGAACGTATAGAAATAGCTAAGAATGGACAAAAAGATTAAATTTATAAAACAAGATAACTGAATTTGCAGTATCAGTTTAAAACAGTATGGTTTAATGTTTCATTATAGTAGTTATATCAGGTACAGAAACAAATCAGGGGAAAAAATTAATATTGAAGTTGAGTAATCAAAATAATAAAATAGAATTGACTATAACCGAATTCTAAAAGCAAAAAAATTAAAGCAATGTTTGTTTCAATTTTTTCTACATCTAATTAATCTTATCTAATTAATTATAGATTAATTAGATTCGATTAATATTGTACTGACTTATTGAAGGATTTTTTTTTTAAAAAAAAGGAGGTAAATAAAACTTTTTTCGTGATCAGATCAAGTTCAGAACGAAAAAAATACACAGCGCTTGTGATTTCGCTCTGTATTGTGTAAAAATATAGCATTGATTCTACATGAAGTATGCAGAAACGATTTCCGACTCAATATGCTCAAGTCTATTCAACATCCCGAAACGAAATTATCTTTATCAGTACTGAAACATCGGTATTAGAGCCATACTCATTGGATGCGATTTTTTTCGCATGAGTTTGGAAACCTGTTTGAAAGTGTTTCACCAGTAAATATTTTCCACCAATCTGGTTTTTATTCACATGCCAAAAAATCGTAGATAGTGAAATATCTTTCAGGCTTTATTTCATTTATCGTTAGATTGCGATTTTTCTTCTTTTTTTTCGTTTTTATCGACGACTTAATTCAAAGGATATAGGCATTTAAAATATATATATATGTAGTTATTTTTTACTTTTTACTGCTTCTAAAATTTCCTGATTTGTTGGAAATGCTGTCTCATCCTTACTATCGATATTGCTACTAGTAAGAATAATTTATTCGAATCTAGAATGTTTTTTTGTTTTTTTATTCAATATCAGTAGCATGGGAAGCTTCTTTTCCTGTCGCTTTCCAGAAAAAAAAATTTCTGACATCACTAGATGTTGTCGACTTCCATCTTATTTCTTCTCCGGAATGCCGCCTTGAAAAATCAGTTTTCAAATTTGTTTTAATTATTGTGGCTTCACAATTGCAACAAATAACCTTTTCGCTAGACATGATTTTTTTAAAAAAAGAATCTTTTTACACATGAAATTTTGCACATAAGTGCAAAAAATATAAAATGCTCTGTTCTCATAAGAAAATACAAAGCAAATTACTGCGCCAGCGATGGAGGACGAAGTTGGCAAATTTCCAAAAATAGCTTAATAAAGGGAAAAAAATTCTCTCCTTTTTATCCAGTAACTGTTTGTGTTGGAGATTAACAGAGAATTACGAGCGCTTTCTCCTTCCGCGGTACGCTAGAAAAAAAAATATTTAAAACAATTCTATAAGAAAAACATTTTGCAGAACCATTATTGCTTCTACAGAAATTTTTTGTTTCTGTAGAAAATGTTTTTTTTTTTTGGTAAAACAGCTTCTCTTTCTGCAGAAGCTTTTTTTAGATCTTTTGTTTGTGGCAAACCAATAATGTTTATTTCCTAAATAAAATAATCTTTCTGCAAGAACTCAGTCGCTTTCTGCGACAATGTCGCCGTGTTTCTGCCACGGGGATTCCATATAAAGCAATCCAATAACAAATATTGCTTCCAAAAATTTGATAGTGTTATAATGTTATATATGTCGAATCAAGAGTGTACTGTAGTAGATACTAGTTTACAACATACAAGTGTATCCATTGCTATTTTAACTATGTCTAGTGTTTATGAATTAAATACCTGTTTCGTGTCATTTAAGTATTTCAAAAGGTGATTTTCTATTTAACAAATTTTCCATATAACAAACTTATTATCGGAATTTAGCGATTTCGTTAAATAGAGATCCGACTGTACATACCATTTGCTAAAGGATCTCATAATAATACCTATATAATTTTGAAAACATTTCTATACGTACTTGAGATGGGAAGTTAACATCAATAATAATATCACATCAGAGAGGCAAAAAAGGATTGTTACATGTTATCTATGGGTTACAAAAAGTTAATTCAACTATAAAAGTAATATAAAAATGTGAAAAAATTTAGTTAAGCTTACTAACTTTAATGAATTTGTTCTAAAAATATTTGGCAGGGGTCCAGACATTTTTGAAAGGTCCGGTTTTTGTAAAATTGTGAGAAAATTACTCATAATTTGGGAATACAAAATGTGTTCCCAAATTACTCATAATTTGGGAACACATTTTTCCAACCAGGGTCCTGCTTTTATAAATTTGTGCAAATAGGGATTGTAAATTTTTAGATTGTAAATAGATGCATGATTATGCTCAGCTCTGTAGAATTATAATTAAAAAAAAATTTCAAAAATAAACAGCAATTGCTGCATCTAAATTAGAGATGCAGCATACAAATATTTGGTATTTAGCTTTCACTGCTGAATGCAGAATATTAATTTTGTACGAATAATGGAATAAGCATCTGTCGAAGACAAAACTTAATTTGTTAACATCCATCTTTCAAGGGTTTTTTGCCAGGAGAGTGGCAAAAACCAAATTATCTAAATTGCTGATTAAATATTATTATAAAATACTTGAAACAAATTTAAATCAATCATAAGGAATAGTAATTTTGATACATTACAGGAAAAAATTATTTTTAACATATTAATATAAGGGTAATAGTTTTTAAAAGATTGAAAGTTTTTGACCTCTTTTCATTTTAGAATCCTTATTAAATGTTTTTTTACAAATAAATAAATATTATTTGTATAGTATTATTAATATTTATTATAAAAAATTATTATTTGTACAATAATTAACACACATGTTGATAGATATTTTATGCTTTAAATTATAGTTTTATTAACTTAAAATAAATTCATTTCACTGGAAAAAAGAGAATAATCACAAATTTTCCAATCAATAATGTTTTAAATTTCTTCTGAACAGACCCCTGTTTGGTAAGGCAAAATACCTTTGAATGAGATATGTGAATAGTTAAAGAACCACCTTCTTCATGAATCTTTTCACCACATCTTGATGAATTCTGAAGGAATAAAATTTAGAAGGAAGACATTAGACATTTTAATGAAAATTCTATTTTCCAGAGTCTCTTTCTGCATTGATGTATTATTTTCATAAAAATTTTTTCAATGTGACCTGTTATTTTTTAAAAATTTAACTCCACTTTTCTTTATTACTTGCCACGTGGCGTGTAGGGTTTACTAATGTATTCAGGTTTACTGATAACTATAATTATCAGTATTAACTATGGTTATTAGTATAACTATAGTAATAACTAAGGCCCGGATTTTGATGACATTTGCATTTTTGGACATTTTTTGTCTTTTAGAGCATTTTTTTAGATTTATAGGGCATTTTTCTTGAAATTTTGGGGCGTATTTTGCATTTTAATGCATTTTTTAAAGTTTTCTGTTAATTTTTTACAATTTTTATTATTTTTTATACTCTAGTAATGACTATTTTATTAGTATAACTATATTTATTAGTATAGTTAAAGTATTTAGTAATTAAACCCTAGAATTGATTGAGTGAAAAAATTATTAACTAATTAATACAAATGTTTATATTTTTTTATAAATTATGATAGTTTATGTACCAGGTTATATGTAATAGTTATGATTTATTGGAAATATTCATGAACATATAAGTAGAGACACAGAAATTTCTCAGAGCTTCTGAACAAAGTTTTTTGAATAGAAGTTTCCACTCATTTTTTTTTTAAGCATAATAATTTTTTCAAAATGTTTTTGGGAAGTAAAGCTTATATATTATAAAAAATTTTGATAATAAAAATAAAGAATAAAATTTCATTAGATTTTTAACATTTCTTCAAAAAATAGACATGTGTTAAAAATAATAAAAGAAATCAAAATACATTGAATTTGAGAAATATTTATGAAATTAAATTTACGATTTCAATCATAAACTTATGTTTTTTATTAGGAATAATTTTGCAGAGCCAAAAGTGTTTTAGCGATAAAAAATTTGTAGGCATGATCGGGAGTGATTTATAGGCTCGTTCGAGTGATCAAATACATCCTACTCCTGCATAGAAGTAATAAAAGCAAATATTGAGAATCAAACAAAACAATTCATAAATAGAGATCAGGCAATTATTGACTACTACTTTAGTTTTACTTGATCTATAAAATCTGCCTCAATTGGGGCATAAATGAATTAAAATCAATATTTAAATTGATAATAATTAATAACTCATAGTTATAACCTAATATAAATTTAATGAAGAAAATAATATTGTTCTTAAACTATTAAGAGTGCTTTGTTTTTAAAAAACCAATTAATAGTTTCAACAATTTTGGCTATGTTTTTTACATTGTATATAATATAAATCATAATTATAGTAATATATGATGCAGGTATTGTAATACTAGTATATAATGCAAATATGACTTGCTATCAAATAAAATGTCCCCAATGACAAAAAATAACAGTTTGTGTTTTGGAATCAAAAACACAGCAGCAGAGTTATGTTAGCGAAATTGAAATGAAACTAAAATTTTTAATTTTAAATATGCTCTTAATAGCTGAAAGAAAGAATTAGAATAATTCTCAGAGTCAAATAACAATTTATTTTCTTTTTTACTTCATGCTGGTGTTTGATCAGTCCTAAGTAAAAGCCTTTATAGTTCAAATAATCACTCTTCTTGATTTATTTTTTTTTTTTTGTCAATCATTGGATTTAACAATATGAATGTAAATAAAAATTGATGCATAAAGAAGCAAATAGTGTACTTATAATACAAGCTTTAGCTGTGGCAGTGTTTTTTTATCTTCAATTTACAAAATGTTTTATTTTTTAATTAGAAGTACGATACTGGCAGAAATTGAAAAACGCAAGAAGTTAGAGCAAGAGAAATCATCTATGGTAAGAAAATACATCATTCTTTTTTTTTTTTTTTTTTTTTTTTTTTTTTTTTTTTTTTTTAAAGAGTGATATAATCTTAACAGAATGAAATTTAGGAATTATGGAAAATATGTTTTAAAAATTGCATTGTAGTAGCAAAGAACATTTATGGTATGGCTTCAATTTTTTCGAGGTGGAAGTGCCCGAACCTACCTTGAGCCTCCTAAAACTTGAATTATCACTAACTTAAAATTTAATAAATGTTTAAGTAAATAAAAGCAAAGCAATTTTTAAATTTTAGTATTTAATTGAAAAATGTATTATATTTAAAGAAATTAACTTTCACTAGATGAGCCAGGTTCATTTATTGTATTTCACTAAACTACAATATTCATTATATTATTACATCAGGTTAATTGTACTTTTAAATAATTATGTAATATTTTTTTGTTAAAATACACTATTCTCCTTTTTCAATGTTTATCACACCAATTTTTTTTTTTGTTTTTGTTTTTTTCAAATTCAGTCTTATTAATCATCATAAAACCAATCGTAGTAATCGTTCCACATGTGTGCGTTGGTCATTGTTTGGGAGCAAGACGTAATTTTTTTTCACTCGCACAGATTTATGGGAAACTCAAACAATCAAGACTCTGTTGTACTCTTTTAATGAAAAAATTGTCATGTTTTGCAACAATGCTTGTCTGTAAAGCTATTATATAATTTTATTAAAAATTATTTTAATCTATTTAATAAAAGTATTTTCAAAATATAACTTAGTTAATATATTATTTTTAGGAAACAATTATAACATTGATTAAAGAAGTACTTTTATCCAATGGAAATACTATAGATAATCAGACAAAGGAGAAACTTTTCCAACTTAGCTCAAATTATAGAAATCAGGGCGGTTCTCCTTCTCGGCAAGTATATTTTTATATTAATCATTTTTTACCTGTGTTACAACGTATAAATCGTTTATATCTCAGAAATTTCTGGATATATATTATGGGAATCCTTTTGCTTCTCATAAAAGAAAGTGTTGAGTTAGAAAACATAGTTTGTTATTAAATTGTTACTATTGTAATTCATTGTTCTTGTTTCGAAATTTAAAATATTTTGCAAGATATTTCATTTAGTTTCAGTATATGGAAATAAAAAAAATGTGTATTATCCTATCTGGACTTTTTTGTAATTATATTCTGAAACATTATCCCTGAAATTTTAAAAACTTGAGGTTCTTTACCATATATTTTATGAAATAAAGAGTAAGATTTAAAATTCTTATTCTGGAAAAAAGGGACAAACATGTCATGTGTATTTGATCAATATATATATACTTATATATATATTCAGGGTTCCCACGGTCCTTGAGAGTCCTTGAAAGTCCTTGAATTATTTTTTGCTAAATTTAGGTCCTTGAAAGTGTTTGAAAAATGTTTTAGGTCTTTGAAAAACTTGATAGGTCCTTGAATTTGTCCAATACTGCCGGCGGCCCTTTTTATAAAACACGCGCGGATCTTTCTCGTTCTTTCTGTTTTGTTCCCGAGCTCTCTCACATGGTTATTAACGCCACCGTTTCTAACCGGGCCTAGCGTCTTGGTGTCTGCCAAGCGCGCGGAGCACAGCAGACAATCAATGCGTTCGGGGCGAGACTCCACTTCATCTTCTGTCGCATATGCTTAGATCTTCTTTTTCTTATCGAAACTGGAGTACTCTCGAATTTCGTAACAATATGTACCTTGTAGTTTTCAATAAATTTGCCGTTTTACCATCCGCACTTGTCCTAAGGTTTGCGTCATTTCAAAACTTTATTGTAAAGCGTATTCGCAAAGGCACGGCTTCGTATTTTTGTTATGTAGTTTAGACTTGCTATGCCTGGGAAGTGCTATTTTAATCCCTAATGGATGGATAATCAAGCTTATAAAGAATGGATTTTATCGATGCCCGAAAAGAAGTTCAGAGCCAAGTGCCGATTATGCATGAAGGAGATCGATATCGCAAAAATGGAAGAATCCGCGCTGAAATTACACATGAAAGAAAGGTAAAACAAAAAAGCAGTCTCATTCCCTGAGTTCTCTTTTTCCAAAGACATCAACATCTAATTCATCTGGTGTAAATACTCCTTCAACATCGTGTGCCCCATGTGAAACAGAAACTTTAGTGGCCGAGGTAACATTGTCTTCTTATCTGGTCAAAAGGAATGTGCTTGATGCTGAAATTCTCTGGAGTCTGAAGTGCATCACTAGTAATTATTCATGTAACTCCT